CTGCGGCATCGGCTATTAGGAAATGAGTCACTAGAGATTTATCAGTGTGATTGGTCCCCGCTGAGGCTTCACACCACCAGCTTGGTTGTTCAACAACAGATTATGGGCTCAGGCCCGCTTTTTATCATTTGCTTTTGAGGGAAATTTTTTTACTCTCAAAAACGTCGAGAACAAAAAAATAAACACAAAATAATGGAGTCTGGTCAGTTAATCAAGTTTTCTGGAGAAACCGAACTCTTTGGAAGTTCCAGGTACAGGTAGTGTTACAGTCCAGAAGATTGTGAGATATAGTTTCAGGAATATGTTGAAAAACAAATTAAGATGCAGAAAAATGACGCTAAAGTACAGGAAATATTAGTGATTAGAAGGGAAGAGATGCCTATGACCCATATATTAGTATGCAGAACAGCGGCAGAAATGTAGCAGAAACTGAAAACTATATACGAGCACCAGGCAAGTTTTTCAGGTTAGAATACAAAGAAAGCAAAGTGGCTGAATTCTGAATTCATTTCTGAAATAGAAAAAACTCAAAGTAACTTGAAGCAAATGGGCAATGAAATTACTGACAAGATGATAACAACTGAAGTTTTAATGTTGCTGCCAGAACATTTAAGGTATTTTATTTCCGCCCAATCATAACCAAACTCTAACTGAACTCATGTCTCGATTGATGATATAGGAGAGAACTAAAAACAAAGAGCAGGTGACAGCTTTAAACATGAGAAGTAAAAATAGTTAAGGACAGAAATCAATTAAATGTTTTCAATGTGATAATATGCAGCATATAAAAACACTGTCCACAATTAAAACCAAACGAAGGCAGGAAAACTTGTTACTATTGTAGGAAAGACGGTCATCTTATGAAATATTGTTGGTTTAAGAAGAAAAAAGACGCAGATGGTATAAAAATGATAAAAAGCCATCAACGAATTCATCACGAGCATTTGTTAGAGTACCAACTGTGACAAAATGCACAAATTTCAAAGATCTGGTTGGACAGTCTCAGTTTATCAAAAACGAATGGTGGTTACACAGTTGAGCCACTGATCACATGTGTTCTAATATAAAAAAGTTTTTTGAATTGACAGAGTTAGAATATAACAAGCAAATGAATTTGGGAAGTGTGTCACTATTAACAGTAAAGGGCATAGGAAAAATAAAAGTAGAAGAAGGAATGGAAAACAATGGCTTAAAACAGATTTAAACAATATATGGTTCTTCCCAGATCTGGATGTGAATCTTTTTTCTTTGAGCAAAGCATAAGATAAAGGATTTGAAATGCATTCCAATAAAAAAAGGTTTGAGCTTTTAAACAAAAATGGAATGATAAGGGCAGTAGCAAACACAGAAAGGAGACTATTTAAGATGAATTTTAAAATTTTTGAAATATTACAGTGTAACATTGCAGAAGCTTTAACAGAGTGACACAGAAGGTTTGCTTTTTTAAATGTCAAGAAGATTTTGCGACAACATAATGTAAATTATAAAGAAAATATTATTTTTGCCGGGCGGAGAAACAACACAGATTACCGTTCCCGTCAAGTAAATCAAGGGTAAAGAAAACAGGTGAATTAATACGATACATAGTGCGGTGCCTTTGAAGCGCCATCCTTAGAAGAGGTAAAATATTTCCTTATGTTAAAGGATGATTATCTGGCTACATATTTGTTTATAATTATAAAGAATAAATTAGAGACAAAAGATAGAGTTTTATTCAATTGGTAAAAAATTAAACAAGAAACAAAGTATTAACTTTACGTACCGATAACGCACTAGGATATTTTTTTACTCTTGAACAGACTGGAAAAGCAGAAAGGGAGATGAGGACGTTAGTGGAGGCAGCTAGAACACTTTTACATAGTAAACATTTGAATAATGTGCTATGGGCTGAAGCAGCTAATTCAGCTGTTTTCATTTTAAACAGAATTGGCAGCTGTCCTCAAAAAGATCAAACTCCATATAAACTTTTGTACTTTTGGGCTAAAGGAGGTATATGTGCATGTATCTAAAGAAAATAGGTTAAACCTTGATCCAAAGAATCAGAAGATTTATTTTCCTAATAAAAGTATAGTAGAAATATCTTAAAAAGACCTGATTTTTAAGACGAATTCAAAGTTACACTTGTAGCTCCTGGTTTTTAACAAGAACATGAAGGTGAATTGTATGATGTATAGGTACGCGCCAGTTTTTTTTAGTTATTTGATTTAGATAAATCAGTCACTATACATATATAAAGATTATCAGTCGGCTATCAGACTTGCAAATAATCCAGAAAATAATAAGAGACTGAAATACGTTGACATAAGATTTACAGAAAAATTCGATAGTGGCGTTATAATATTCTTCACATTAAAAGTGAGGATCAACTCGCCGACATATTTACTAAGCTATTACCTAAGGTGAAATTCGAGAAATTCAGAAAGGGTTTAGGTTTATTGAATAAATACAGAAAGAAATAAAATAATTTTATTGAGGGGGCGTATTAATACGTAAACAGTCATTTTGTTATTTTATTATATTGTCTGGCAACGTACAGCGTTGATTTTTATGGAATATGATTTTCGACTCCGATAAATTGTAGACAGTGGTTATGATACATATCTCTCATCATAAGCTTAGAGGTGCGAGAACGTAATGTCTTTGCTATGCTCCATCCCCATGTGATCCCTACGAGCTAAGCCAGACACTTTTATTTAAAATCAAAAATTACTGGGATTTCCCTAGTACTACCTACCCATTGCATATTCAATAAAGTTAGGAGCGTTGCATCTCTTCCTTTTATTTCTTACCCTGCTTTCACACAGACGGTTTTCTAACGGCAACCGTGCCGTGCCGTGCCGTAATTTCATTTTGCTTTGCGTTCACACTGCACACGGTTTTTCACGGTTTAGTTTTGTTTTGATACATGACCAATTGGACGAAAGAAAAAAACGCATGTTGTTACTAATGATATGGCATAATTGCAGAAAAACACAAAAAAACAAGAAAATTTTGGATTCATCCACTACTTCAAAACAGACAATTGATGGGTGAATTTGTAACATTATTTCATGAGCTACGAGAGGATAGCTCCAAATTTTTTAATTATTTTCGAATGTCCATTAGGAGTTTCGATGAATTATGCGTAAAATTGCAAGATGATTTAAAAATTAGTAATAGTCATCAAAATTAATTGACAATGATTACGCTTTATTTAATATCAAGAGGGAAATAAAAAAAAATTGAGTATCAATCAGAAAACAATCTATCAGAAATAGAAAAAGGTTTTCCTTTCTGTTATGTAACGCTTTGATACCAAAAGAAATCAAATTATTAAAGTTTTCACTGTCTAGCTTATAAGAGATAAAAGAAGATTGTAATATATATCTGTACAAAACCTTGTTTCTTCAAAAATATCCGAGAAAATTTAAATGCTCATATTCAATATATCCTTTGTATTATCTTCCCCAATGATATATTATTAAGAAAGGAGGTAAATTTTTCTTAATTATATAATCTCTACCGATGCTTGGAGTAAGATTTTTACCTTGATAAAGACACTGTTCCAAATATTTTCACAGAGAATAATAATAATAGAAAGACAGATACAAAAGAATTCGAGTAGAAATATTTACAAAAGGGTGTAATATAATGTTTAGTCAAATATATGTTTTAAATTAAATATAGCGGTGTTATTATCCGCCACACTATATAATTTCTTCTGTTAACTGCACAATTCAGAGAGAAAAACGATCCTGAAAACAATTTTTGCCGTGTGAACACACGGCACGTGTGAATACTTCTATACACTTGCTTGTCTCACTGTTGCCGTGCACGGCTACGGCGCCGTGCCGTTGCAGTCCCCATGCCGTGCTGCGACGGCAGCCGTGCACGGCTACGGCAACAAACCGTGCTGTGTGAAAGCTTGCATATAAACCAATGTATTACTATTATACACGGCACGGTTGCCGTGCACGGCCACGGCAAAAAACCGTCTGTGTGAAAGCAGGGTTACAGTAATGGAAAGCTAAAGAATAGGGTCAAGGTCTTGACATATGGTGTTTACTTGGGTAGGTGGTTGAAGAAAGACAGAAACAGGAGATGAATGAAATGAAATCAGAAAAATGATGAAAGATTAACTGGAATATTACTGTCCCAGCACTGCAGCTCAAAGCATATGCTACCATAGATATAACAGAATAGAGTAGACAAGCTCATCAGAAATGTGTTTACTAAAGGAAAAAAGCTCTTTCGTTATCACGTCGACGTAGTCTTTAATTATTCAAAGCTGAAGAAGTAGGTGAAAACGTAGTTTCCGCGCCAAACATATTGTATGTAGGTATTACTTGAACAACATGACGTATTAAAAAAATAAAATTTCAAAAAAATCGGAGGTGTCTTCACCATAAAATTGGTGAGCGAGCTTTTAAAAGAATATATTCCAACATTTTTGATTTCATTGTAAATAATAAAATTAGCACGTGCCTGTTAATTACAGTGACAAATATAACTAAGCTACAATTTTCCTACAGTAACAATGTCCTATCAAGATTATTCCTACATTCCTACACCTTTCGGTGGAAATAATTTCTTCTTTACATCAGATCACCAAACAAAATTAAAAAAAAAATGCAAATACAGTTTACCATTTTACCTTTTATCCTACTTTCATAAATCATAAGTCTTGGAAAATATATACAAAATTAAATCTTTCAGAATTAACCAACTAAGTAAATCATAAACAGACAGTAATGATTATAATGTTACCCAGGTCTTCGAAATATTCAATATTTCACTGAAAAACAAAGAGCATGCTTATAAACACTTGTTATACGAAAACATATGATTACTAATGCTAAATATTTAATTTTATATGTATATATAAACATTGTGTTCCTCTAATTATTTTTTTTGTATTTATAAATTAAAATGAAAAACTAGGAATCATTGTTTATTTACTTCTTACAAAATTAAAAAAAAAATAATTAAAAAATAGATAATATTTACAAGTATGTACTCACCTAGTATTAATATAATGCCACGGCATAATATGCAACTGCACTAAACAAAGGTATGTAAATAATATAGCTGAGTGAGTAATTTGTTTTAGTTTAATAAGTAGTTCATAACATTCCAGATTGATATCAATAATGTTAATGGTTTGCACAAATATTCAAACATTAATACACTAAACCGCACTATAAAACATTTTTAACGTTCACTGCTATAAATATCTGTAACAATATATCATAAATTAAAAACCCTTTCATCAACTGCTATAACTATTACTGATGTTAATTATTGCTGTCAAATCATTGTCATCGAGCGATTACCTACATTTCAGACTGCAGACAACTATATCATGACTATATCGATCAAGAATCACAGGTATCGTTAAGGATCATAGATAGTTAAGGATCATAGATAATAGGTTAAGGATCGATGACCATCGTTGTACTTATTCATTTTCTACGGTTGTCATTATAAACGTTATAAACTGTCTTTTGTTCTGTTCAGTTCTGTTGTACTCTCATAACGAAGCGAATGTAATATTATTTAGCAATATAATCACTATCTATGACATCTATGATATTTGCTCCATCATTCCAGAATGAAGCAATTTTTTTTATTTTTAGAAATTAGCAATTACAGATATTAGCTTAACTTCCCATGCGTCAAAAATTACTAGAATTGTACAGAGGAGGATGGAAAAAAGGGCGGAAGAACTGTTAGGGGAAGATCAATTTGGGTTTAGAAGAAATAGAGGAACGCAGGAGGCCATTCTAGCTTTACGGATAACAATAGAGAGAACGATAAAAAAAGAAAAAGGGCGTACATAAGATTTGTAGATTTAGAAAAAGCTTTTAACAATGTTAAATGGGACAAGTTGTTAAATATGCTTAAAAATATAGGGATGAGTTACAAAGATAAAAAAGTGATACTTAGTTTGTATAAAGAGCAACAGGCAGTTATAGAGATGGGGTTGCAGCGTAGAGAAGTAAATATTAGAAAGGTCAGACAGGGATGCACACTGTCACCGCTACTTTTTAATCTATCTACGCGATCAACATCATTAGAGACAGCACAACTGTAGGGATAGATAGATGATATAGCAGTGTTAGCATCTAGCAAGGAGTTAGAGATAGCTTTAAATAAAATGGAAGCGGTATTGACAAAACAGTACCTACTGTATGAAAATAAATAAAAATAAAACAACAATACTGGTATGCAAGGGAAGAAAAAGTAAGGAAACAACGAATATAAAGATAGGAGACGAAAAATTAGAAGAAGTGGCCGATTTTAGATATCTAGGAAGTCAGATAAGTCGGGATGGTAGGAGTAGTAGGGATATGAAGCAGAGGATAGCACAGAGTCCAGACGCCTTCAATAAAAAGAAGTCACTTCTACTCTCGCGAACAGTTAATTTAAAAATTCGAAAAGGATTATTAAAGATGTATGTTTGGAATGCGGCGCTGTACGGGTGTGAAACACGGACAGTGGACGCGGCGGAAAAGAAAAGGTTGGAAGCATTCGAAATGTGGTGTTACAGACGAATGATGAGGATACCGTGGATAGAAAAGGTTAGAAATGAAGAGGTATTAGAAAGAATAGGAGAATAGGGGACTCTTTGGAAGCCAGTAAGAAATAGGCGAGATAGATTAATAGGACACCTTCTCAGGCATGAATGTCTAGTCAGAGGCATATAAGAGGCAGAAACGGAAGTTAGGAGGGGTAAAGGTAGGCCTAGATTAGATTTTTTTGCACTCTCCATTTTACCCTATATTACGAGACGCTCGAGGAAAATGTTATCCGCCCAACGTGTTATTTGAATAGCAGTTAGGAAGTATATTTTGTCCAAATTTAGTCGGGCAGTTTTCTAAGAACCATGTTGATAGGGTTTTAATGCCTTGTGTTATTTCTTGAGTTACTTGTTCCCAGGTGTCTGTTTTATAAAAAACTGCTGCGTCATCTACATATGCAGTTACTTTGCCATGAGTTTTAAGGTGGAATAGATTGTTCATGAAAGGAATAAAAAATAATGAACTCAATATTGTTCCTTGTGGAATTCCACGTGATTTCCTCTTGCCTACTGTTTAAAGTTCCTATATTTATTGTGTGGGTTTTCTTCGTCAAGTAATTCTGGACGAGTCTATGCGTTGTGCCACTGAATCCAATACCGTGTAGTTTATTCATAAACAGGCAGTAGTCCAAGATGTCGAAGGCTTTTGACATGCCTATAAAAACAGATGCTCTCGATATCCCTCGTCTAATACAATTAGAAATTTGGTAAATTCTACTAATGCGTCATTTGTGGAATTAATTTCTGTAAATCCAAACTATTCCTTCCTTAAAATGTTATGTATGATAATGAAACTGGTGAACCGTTCTTTCAAGCTCTTTTCGAAGACTTTTACTATCACTACATAGTATAAAATAAAGTCGCTTTCCCGCTGTCTGTCCCTAAGTATGCTTAAATCTTTAAAAGTACGCTATGGATTTTGATGCGGTTTTTTTTAATAGATAGAGTGATTCAAGAGGAAGGTTTATATGTATAATACATGCATAATATAGTAGGGAAACACTGATAATTTTAGAGGTTTCTAATGTGATGTCGTAAATAAACACATTTTTAGCGCTTACATTGCAAACGCTGGCTGAACCCTACGAGATATATCAAAATAATGCACTATAATATTATGCATCTTAAAAAGGTCTACAAAAAAGTCCGGGATGGTATATGTCTATCTCTTAAGGATAACCCACAATAACCATTTTTTATCCTTTACTTTTTACGAGAAATAATGGCTTATTTACGAAGCGATTTTAAGCAATACAGCATTAATTCTTATCCAATTAACTATCTTAAATACATTGTGCATTTAATATAGATCAATATGGCCACAGCACGTAATTTAAATGAATATTTTCGAAGATATTACAGATTTAAAATGCAGAGACATAGCGGTTGCGGCGGTACCGGCCGGGAGACCGGTTTGTATTGTCTAATGACAAAAAAACTGTGAATGTTATACAGGGTGCTTCAAAAAATGTATACACACTTTGAACTTCCATAGAAAATTTATTTACCGTTCTACAAAGTTAAATTTCAGGAAAATAGAAAGCTGAAAGTCCAATGTAAATGAAACATAAATAACAAATGTTAATACTGTTCAAATTGGTGACCTACAGCATCAATACAATTCTGAGTACGAGTCACCACAGATTCTGTACATCGTATCAAAACGTGATACGTGAACCNGCTTAAATCTTTAAAACTACGCAACGGATTTTGATGCGGTTTTTTTAAAAGATAGAGTGATTCAAGAGGAAGGTTTATATGTATAATACATGCATAATATAGTAGGGAAACACTGATAATTTTAGAGGTTTCTATTGTGATGTCGTAAATAAACACATTTTTTGCGCTTACATTGCAAACTCTGGCTGAACCCTACGAGATAGATCGAAATAATGTACTACAATATTGTACATCTTAAAAAGGTCTACAAAAAAGTCGGGGGTGGTATATGTCTATCTCTGAGGGATAACCCACAATAACCATTTTTATCCTTTACTTTTTAGAAGAAATAATTACTTATTTACGAAGCGACTGTAAGCAATACAGTACCTTAAATACATTGTGCATTTAATATAGATCATTATGGCCCTTTACAGCATGTAATTTAAATGAATATTTTCGAAGATATTACAGATTTAAAATGCAGGGACATAGCGGTTGCGGCGGTACCGGCCGGTTTGTATAGTCTATTGACAAAAAAACTGTGAATGTTGTATATAAAGACATTCTGTAGTATATTTAGTATGTTCAAGGGATATCTTTTGAAGATTTTCCCTTTTCGATAATAATCTAAACAAAACAAAAATATATTTAGTATCAGCATTGCACCCGTGCGAAGCTGGGGCGGGTCACTAGTACTAGATATAATTGAAATTGATCTGTAATTGTTAGGATATAGTTTATTTCCTGTATTGTGGATATGTGCTTATTTGAACTGAGTTGGGTATGTTGTGGTTCCGTAGCACCTGTTGAATTGTTGAATATGTGCAGTAGTGATTAAGGTGTTAAGGTTGCTGATGTGCATGTTAGCTCTTTGATGCCGATCTATCTAAGGAAGATTGATTTTTCTACTGTGATTTAGGGTGTATCTCGTATCTCTACCTATTTAAATATTTGGCTAGATTCCGACCCACGTTAGCAAAGAATTTGTTGTTCTTTCTCGTTCCCTTTGATAAAGCGTGCTTCTGGGTTATCTGGTTTGCTTTTAAATCGGTTCAGGATTTTTTCGATGGCATTCCATGTTGTTTATGACCCAAAAACAACATGCTTTAATTTCTATTTAATAGGTTCTTCTTTAGCTTGTTTTATAACTTTTTTAAGTAGGTTTCTGCATTCTGAATTCGTCTAATTTGCGTGTCTTTAGTATTTGTTAATAATTTATATATTTTATCTCTTCTATTTATAGTTTGATGATCTGTTTAAATATGTCTGAAGCATTCTGCGGTTCTATTATGTTGGTGATTTGCGTGTTCGTTAGTTTCATCATATCTAGCATGTGTGTTTTAATTTGGTTTGCTATTGTTTGTTCGTGCTGTTAGTATCTTTATGTAAAATTAGGTGGTCTGTAATGTATGCTTCCATAATTATTGAAATGGCTTCTTTGTTATTTGGAACCCCTTTTGTGAAGAGATGTTTGACTTATGCAGTTTTTATTCTATTTTATTTACACTCTTCTGCTCCGTGTTCATCTGCACACCAACAGCAGAAAAAAGTGTTACACTTATATTAATACATGAAACACTCTTTTAGAAGATTTTAATAGCAGTTAACATTGAATAATATTCAAACATTAATGTGAAATTAATGGATCTAACAGCAGCAACAACTGAATGAATTTCACATTAATGTTTGAATATTATTACGTGTTACTCTTGTTATGGCTGTGTTCATATCCATTGCATTTGTGGCATTTTTTATCTTTGATTTCATGGTATATTTAGCAGATTTCCCAGTTTATGTATAGCATCCTTTTTTTATTAAGTGGGTCTGTTAACTTTTGCGTAACTTGCATGTCCTTTTCTTTTGGATGTGTTTGATATATATAATTCTTAAGTGGCTTCTGTTAGGTTTTGAATGATGATTATTTATCTGTTCAAGTTCTTTGATATATGAGTTGTTTATGTTTACAATTTTAATTGTTCAATTGTCTATTGATTTTTTGTTCTGCTTCATTTTCACATTTGATTTCCAGGGTTTCGTCTTGGCTTTGTTTTATATTTTAACCTTGATTTTGAGGTTACTTAGCTTTTGTGAGTATTATCTATATTTTTTACTTCGCTTAGCGTGCTAACAAAGTTAGGTACTTTGTAGTTTGTGTCTTTAACATGTCTATGTTTCATTAGATTTCGCATGCTTTTCACCTGTTTCTTGCAGTTTGAGCATATGCAAACGATAATCCGCGTTTTTAAATTACTTTTTGTGTTCGTAATGCACATCGTTTATTTTCACATACTGTATGGCAAACACTTATCACAGAACCCTTCGCAATTTATTGGATTGTCAATATCTTTTAATTCCTTTTTTCCATTTGAAGCGGATACCACCTCCTTGATCGCCATTTGTGTCGACGGCCATTTTTAATAATTTTTAATTTTTGTACGTCTATTATACTAAACAATAGTCATTTATAATGACTATTATTATTAGTAGTTCTAGGTAATATAAAATAGTTACATAATAACAGGTTGTTCAAAAAGAACATTCTCCTTCTCGTTCTTGAGTCAAAGTGTCAATTATCTATGGTGTCAATCATTGAGAATATATATTTCTTTAATCTGTGCGCGTGTAAGGGATAGGTTTCCATATTTGTAGGAAGTAATAATCAATGATCTTACAGGAACACTACAAACTTTATTCTAATTTAAACAATTAACAAGCGCAAGAGAATACTGCTAATAAATGGCGGATCAACTAGAACTAGACTATATTGATTTTTACAATTTTACGCGCAACGTTTTAAGACTCCAGTGTGACGACTGAGTGCCTGACCACTGTTGCCAACCTACTACAGGAAAAAATCCCACGCGCAGGTCCAAAAAATCCCATATTTTCTCTAAAAATCCTTCCACGCACAGGTCCAAAAAGTCCCATATTTTCTCTAAAAATTCCTCCAACTTATTACTATTATTATTTTTTAATTCGTTAATTTAATCGTTTATTCGAAGAAAAAATATACAATATTTTTGTAAACATGGACAACTTTTCGTGTCGATAGTATAATACCGATAATTTTATTGTATGTAGTTATCTCGTTTCCCAAAAATGCAGACAAAACCAGGCCTTGGGGGTTTAGATGTT